CCAATAAGTTGGCCAAACACAGCCACTTGGTCATAAGGAATTTAAACTGCCCTAACAGCTTTTACTCCACCTGAGACCTTCTCAAAGCTATCCACACTGGATCTTTCAAAAGGAAAGTCAGTGGATCCATTCACAACAGAAAATTTTTGGCTGTTAGGAATTGAAACTTCCTTGATTAAAGCACTTTCACACCCTTCAACCACAGCAAACTGCTTGCACAGGTTACTATGAGGATTTCTTTCTTTAGGAGCTTCTCTAAGCAACATTTCACCCTTCACTGAAATTCTGCCCTTACCCTCTTCACCTAGGACTTTTTCTAGAATCTAAAATCAAAAGGTTTATTCATAAAAGGAAAAATATATAGATGAGAGCTAGAATTGGTTAAATGGAATCAATTACATACAGTAACGGCACAGTTCTTGGTTCAGGCTTGTAGCAGTGATGGAATAAATTGCAGGTTTAAATCAAGTCTCTGGAGTACGTCCACAGCTGGGATGGGTCATTCAGTCCTTTGTTTCAGAGCTTCAGTTTGTAGCGAAGTCCCTCCAGAGGCAGGGCCGGCTCCAGGCACCAGCTTTCCAAGCAGGTGCTTGGGGCGGCATTTAGAATGGGGCGGCAGTCCGTGTCCTGCTGAGGCAATTTGGCGGCGGCTCCGCCACTCTTCCCGCTGCAGTGGCTTTCGGCGGCAGCTCTGCCGCTGTTGTGGTGGTGGCAATTCGGCGGCAACTGCTTAGGGCGGCAAAATTGGCAGAGCCGCCCCTGTCCAGAGGTCAGAAGCAGGATTGAAGACAAGATGGAGGAGCTGCAGCAGCAGATTTTTATAGTGTATCTGCCTTCCCTCAATGGGTCAATTCAATAGCTGATGGTCCTTAATGGGCCATCGAGCAAGCTAGGCAGAGCTGACACCAACGTGTCTGGGGTGTCATCCAGAAGCATAGCACACGTTTGAAAGACAGACAGTATAGAGCCAATACTTATGACTTTAAACACAAAAATGATGCATGCATACAGATAGCATAATCATAACCAGCAAACCATAACCTTGTCCTTAGCACCTTACATGACAACCTTTGTACAATATTTGCTGAAAATATATAACAGTGGTTGCAACAGTGATCTATACGGTTACAAATTATGTCAATAACATCACACGGGGGAATAATTTCTGGCTAAGATATAAGACCGGGTGGTCTTCTCCGTCGATTTCTTGGGACAGGATGGCCCCGATCCCCACCTCCGAGGCATCCTTGTGGAGGATGAAGTCACTGTCAAAGTCCGGGCTATATGGGACCGGCTCCCAGCAGAGGCACTCCTTGAGTGTCTGGAAGGCATCTCCACATTCTTGGATTCACAGCACGCGCCGGGGGCTGTCCTTAGTCAAAAGCCCTGTCAAGGGGGCTACGATGGAAGCGAACTGGGGGATGAATCGCTGCAAGTAGCCGGTGAGCCCCAGGAATTGTCACACTTGGCGTTTCATGGTGGGTGGCAGGCAGGTTGCCAGTACTTGAACTTTCCCCACAAGGGGTTTCATCCGTCCTTCCTCTATGGTGTATCTGTATCTTTGGTTGCCTCTTTCCATCCAATGTGGCCCTTTTTTGGACTGGCCGTTAGTCCTGCCTTTCGCAGGGATCTCAGGACCGTGGCTACGTGTTCCAGGTGGTCCTCCCACCGGTGGCTGTAGACTACCACATCATCCAAATACGCCGCTTCATAGTCTTGATGGGGCCATAGAAGGCAATCTATTAGTCGTTGGAAGATCTCCAGGGCCCCATGGAGGCCAAAGGACAGCCAGGTAAATTGGTAAAGTCCCGTTGGGGTGGTGAATGCCGTCTTCTCCTTAGAGATGGGGTCGAGCAGGATCTGCTAGTACCCCTTACTGAGGTCAAGGGTGGTGATGAAACGGGCCTTCCCTAAGCGACCAAGCAGTTCATCCACACGGGCCATAGGATATGCATCGAACCTTGAGACCACGTTGACCCACCGGAAGTCTATACAGAAGTGCCTTGTTCCATCGGGCTTGGGTACCAAGACCACCCGACTGCGCCACTCACTCTGCGATGGCTCAATGACTCCTAGAGTTGGCATGGCCTGTACTTCCTCCTCGACCTCCTGCCACATTCGGTGTGGCAGGGGCCTGGTTGTCTCCCAGATTACCTTCCCCGGTTCAGTCTGAATGGCATGATGGACCAGGGTCATGTAACCGGATAGGACCATAAAGGTTCTCCTGAAAGCCTGCAGGAGACATTAGGCTTGTGCTTGTGCTGCTCCTCCGCGAGCTGGGGGCCTGTGGGGTCCTCTGTCAGGGGTGTGCCGGGACTCAATTCTGGTTCTGGCAGGTAAAGGTTAATTAATAGGCCCTCTCACTCCCACCGTGGTTTCAATAGATTCACATGATATTGCTGGGTCTTCTTGCACCGGTTGGGCTGGTGGACCTCATAGGTGACAGGCCCGAACTTCGGGCCACCTCATAGGGTCCCTGCCAACAGGCCAGCAGCTTTGATTCGACCAATGGTAGGAGGAGCAGGACCTGACCACCTCGCTCAAAGGCACCAACCTGAGCTTCCTGGTCATAGGTTCATGCCTGGGCTTCCTACATGGCTTTTAAGTTCTCGCGTGCTAGGGCTCCAACCTGAGCGAGGTGCTCCTGGAGCTGGAGGACACACTTCAGGAGGCCCTGGGTTGAAGACGGAGACTGCTCTCATGTCTCCTGCTTTAAGTCTAATAGGCCCCACGGGCGGCGGCCATATAGTTACTCGAACGGGGAAAATTTGTTGATGACTGGGGTACCTCGTGGATTGCCAGCAGTAAGGGCGGGAGTAGCTGGTCCCACCAGCCTAGCTTCTCTGGGGGAATTTGCACAGCATCTCCTTTAGGGTCCAACTGAATCGTTCCACCAGCCCATTAGTCTGTGGGTGGTAGACGGAGGTGCGTAACTGTTTAACTCCCAGTAGCTCGCATACCTGATGCAACAGCTGGGAGGTGAAGTTGGTACCCTGATCCATTAGGATTTCCCGGGGCAGGCCCACTCGAGCGAAGACCTTCACTAGTTTGCTGGCGACAGTTCGGGGGGCAGTGCTCCACAATGGCATGGCCTCGGGAAAATGGGTGGCATAATCAGCAATGACCAGCACATACTGGAATCCCGTGGCACTTCTCAGGAGCAGGCCCACCAGGTCCCTGGCCATCCGCTCAAAGGGCATCTCCACTATGGGCATGGGAACCAAAAGGGCCTTGGGTACCTGTGGGGGAGCCACTAATTGGCACTCCGGGCAGGAGCTACAATAGTTCCTCACCTCCTGGTGAACGCCGGGCCAAAAGAACCGTGTCAAAATCTGGGCGTGGGTCTTTTCATGGCCCAAGTGCCCTGCGGCAGGGATGTTGTGTGCAAGCTTCATTACTGCTCGTCAGTGGCATCGAGGCACCAGCAGCAGGGTCTGTGGTTCTTCTGTGCGGGGATCCCGTTCCACCCGGTAAAGACGGTCATGGCGTAGCTCAAAACAGGACCACTGATTTGCACGATGCGGGTCGATCTCGGCCCCACTGACAGCAGCTAGTTGTTCATAGGCCCGACTAAGGGTGGGGTCTGCTCTTTGGTCACGGCAAAAGTCGGTGTTAAGTCAGAGTTTGACAGCCAGCCCAGGTGGGAGGTCCTCAGATTCCTCAGTCCCTTTCTCGGGGTCCGGGGCCTCCTCCTCCTCTGGTTGGGCCTTGGGGCAATCTCCTTCCAACGGAGAGGTCGAGCGGAGGATCTCCTCAAACGCCTGCCAGTCATGCCCCAGAATCACCAGGTAGGCTAGTCGAGGAGCCAGACCGATGACCATCCGTCTTGTGACCCCGGCCACCATTAGCAGGATCCGGGCACTGGGGTAGGGCTGCACGTCGCTGTGGATGCATTGCAGCCGGATTGTCCCCAGGTGGGGGTCGCCCTGGGGCCCCAAGGTCTGATGGATTAGCGTCTGGCCACAGCTCGAATCAATCAGGGCTAGGATTGGGTGGTCCCCAACAACTACCGGAACCATGATCTTAGGGCCTTTGGCAGCCGGGTCTCTTCCACACAGACGTGGCCGAACCTGCAGTCCATCTCAGTGCAGACACGCTGTAAATGTCCATATTTCCTGCATAAAAAACAGGGCCCAAGTTCCGAGCGATCACCCCGGGTGGGGGCTCCCATCGGACCCCTGGTGGGACTCTGATTGATCCTCGAGACACTCAGCATGGGGGGCACAGATCCTTGTCGAGGTGGGAGTTCAGGGCGTCTGGCCCAAAGCCCCGAGCAAGCCTCTTGCCCGTGGGGGAGGCTCCGCACTTTGGTCTGAGTGTCCCCTTTCTTTTCGGGGTTAGGGAGCTCTGGCCATGGGGGATGCGCTCTGGTAGCTGGCCCCACCAGCGCTTTGGCCACGAGGAAGTCTTCCATCAATGCGACTGTGGCGGCTAGTGTCGCTGGCCGATGGCGAAGCGCCCAGGCCCTTCCTCGCGCCGGGAGGATGTGTATGAACTGTTCTAAAATAATTTGCTCCGTGACCTCATCCGCGGTCCTCCTCTCTGGCTATAGCCACTGCTTGCACGCTTCCTTCAGCTCTTGGGTCTGGTGCCTGTGGGGTAGGTCTGGCTCTGGAACAGCTGCTGAAAGGTTTCTGGGCTGACGTCCAAGGCATCCAGGATTGCTGCCTTTACCTGGCTAGTCCCTTGCATCCTCCGTAGACAGCCCACTGTATACTGTTTGGGCTGTCCTGGTCAAGTATGGGGCCAAAAGAGTGGCCCATTGGCTCACAGAGGTCGAGGGATCATGCCCAGGTTCTCCACCACGTGTAGAGAGGTTAGCTGGGACTCATCTCTCTCTGGGGCAGCAGGGAACATCACCGCCGCACTAAATTCGGGAAGAGGTATTGCAGGGAATTAGTCCGGCCGTGGGTGTCTTCCTCTGCGACCTTTGTGGGGGCAGAAATAAACATAGTAAGCCCAAGTCCTAGGTCAGGGCAGGGCAATGGTGAGTCAGGCCCTCAGGAAGGAGGAGGGTAACCAGCTGCCATTTCATAGATGAGGATGCCCAGAGCCCACCAGTCCAAAAAGCCTTGTTATAACCCTGCCCAGGGAAAGCAGGCCAGGGTCACTCACCAAATATTTGGGAACCGGAAGGAACCACCTGGTGGCCAGGGATCAGCTAGAGATCAAGCAGCAGACAGGCCCTCCCCAGCGTACCTTGCTGAGGATGATCTCGGGGGCCAGGTATTCCGGGGTCCCACACAGAGTCCAGGTTCGGCCTTTCACCCGCTTGGCAAAACCAAAATCCGCCACCTGGAGCCAAAACACAGAGAGGAGAGAAGCTGGATCAGCCCGGGGGCTGTGACAGCAGGAGGGGAAGGGAGGAAGCAGATGACTGATGTATTCTGGCCGTGTTATGTTTCTGGGGGTGTCTTGGCTTTGGGAAGGGGATGGCAGCAGAGAGAGACTTAGACAGGCAGGAGATCACTGCAGGGAGCCAGGAGCCAGCGCTGGGATGGGGACGGGAAGGAGTGGCAGAGGGGCGGCAGCGTCACCTCGATGTAGCCCTGCTGGTCCATCAGGAGATTCTCTGGCTTCAGGTCTCGGTAGATGAGATCCAGCGAGTGCAGATACTCGAAGGTCAGGACAATCTGAACAGCGTAGAACCAGGTGTGAGGTTCACTGCAATGAGGTGGGAGGAGAACGTGGGCATCGCAGACCAGATCCGCCCCCTCTCAGCCAGCCCAGCACCCTCGGCCCCCTGCCGCCCCCACCTTCACCTTCCTTATAGATCCCCAGGCAAGATGCCCCAACCCTTATCGGCCCGGTGGCCCCATCTGCCCAAGCCAGACCACTAGCCCTAGTACACACATCCCACCCACCATTGCTAGACCCCTGACTCCATCCAGCCTGGCAACCCAGGGCAAGCCCCTCCCAGACCAGCGTCTCGCCCCTAGCCTCAATACAGACACCCATGGACCCCCAGCTCCTTCCAGCATGACTCCATCTAGCCTGGCATCTCTGCCACTGACTGTGGCTAATGCTGGCAGAAGACCTCAGCCGCTCTCCCCATGGGGAATCCCTTCCTGACCAGCCCAGCTGGGGATCAGGTCACACCCTGCAGTAGGAGGATCAAAGCCAGCGTTGCTGCAGATGCTGCTAGTGGATAAAAGGTCTAGTTCTCTACTGAACTCAATCCCAAATTTACAGCTGTGGAAACTGAGGCACAGAGTGATTCTCCCCCCTTCCCACAAGGAGTGAATGGCGGAGGCAGGAATAGGACGCAGGAGTCCCGACTCCCAGTCACTCTGCTCTAAGTGCTAGATCCCACTGTCCTCCCTGAGCCAGGGATACAACCCAGGAGTCTAACCGCCACCCAGCTCTAACCATTAGCGACACTGTCCCCAACATCGGCTCCCGTGGCAACACTCACCTGAACCTCCCGATCCGCCGTAGGTGGGAGAACATCTCCCCGCCCAGGATATATTCCATCACCATGTATAGATTGGAGTTATCCTAGAAGGAAATGCAGCAGAAACTGAGGGCAAGGCATGGAGCCACTCCGGCCCCCCGTCAGTGCCTGTGACACCGGGATGAAGCTGCTCACCACACCCCTGCTCCTTTATTAGCCCCATCCTTTTCAGGGCACTAACCCCACATGCCTCAAGGGAGCCTGATGCACTGGCCTAGCTTCCCCATAGCACACAATGCAGTGCACCCGCTGTCTGGGCAATAACAGCCTACTACTGCCACCAGCTGCTGCTGTTACTCCTTTGGCTCAAGGGCCAGAGGGGTTGCGCCATGGTGCCGAAGGTCCCAGGCACACACCTGCAGTGGGAGTTGCTGCACAGACGCGGCTGGGGAACAGACTCACTAATGAGAGGGCGCAAGCTTTATTTGCTTGGAATATTTCATACTAGAGCCCTAGAAAATTCAACCCCTCCCCTCCTCCGGTTTAGGGGCAGGGATGGGCGGGGACAAGATGGATTTCCCAGCTGCGATGTCTATGATCAAAGGGGAAACCCAACATGCCGCCAGGTCGGACACCCCAAAAGAGCAGAAGCAGGAAGTGAAACTTGTCAAAAGCAGAGTGTGAAATTGACCAGGCTGGCTCCATCCTCTCTCAGGGCTGCAAAGTCAAAGAGCAGCCTCCGAAGTAACTCCGCTGAGCCCAACAAAGCCATTCCGCTAGTGAGACCCGACCCGGCTCAGTGATGAGAACATGAGCACTAAGCACCCGCGCACAAGCCAGCGGCGACCACTGCCCCTGCCCTTGAGCCCTGTATCATTTTCCAGCTAGCCCTGGAAAGAGGGTCCAGCCGGGGCATGGGCACAGCGCCCCATGCTGGATGGTCAGAGACCTTTTTCTGCAGCCACATTAGGAGAGCAGGAGCCAAGAAGCAGAAAGTCACATCCTCACATTCCATCTAAATTATATCAAAACAATGTAATATCGGGCTATTAAGAAGGCTCCTGTCCGAAGAGTGCCCAGCATCACCAGGCAAAGAAACAGATCTTAGGATGCTCAAAGATCACTTAGCAGCAGTGTGGGTGTGAAATCTCTACCTCTTGAGATGGCCCAACCTGATGATCACTTTAGATAAGCTATTACCAGCAGGACAGTGGGATGGGAGGAGGTATTGTTTCATATTCTCTGTGTATATATAAAGTCTGCTGCAGTTTCCACGGTATGCATCCGATGAAGTGAGCTGTAGCTCACGAAAGCTCATGCTCAAATAAATTGGTTAGTCTCTAAGGTGCCACAAGTACTCCTTTTCTTTTTGCGAATACAGACTAACACGGCTGTTACTCTGATACCTCTTGATTGTTTTCCCTTTCTGGTCCCCGCTTCTCTGTTGTTTATCGGTCTGGTTCTTTGATTGTTTCTGTTATATAACTAATTTTGCCAGGTGTACATCAAAAAAGGTGGCAAGGTATGCCTGGGTAAAGAATTGCTTCACACTATGTTTGGATTGGTCAGAGAATTATTTTGTAATACTTCAGTAAAATGATGGGTTAAGGTAGAGCTAAGCAGGACTCAAGTTTCACTCTATAAACTGGGGTCCAAAAGGAAGTTCTTGGGAACCAGCTCCAGGACACAGCCCAAGATCAGCGCTACCAGACCTCAACACCCTGCCAAGCACACCGTGCAGAAGCTGGAGTCCCAGGATGCCCTGATCCTGACTGGCCAGCAAGGAAAGGTGACCTGCCTTATTGGGAGTGATGGGCATTGTATGAGTAGCATGTGTATTCTCTCCTGGCAACTGTGATGAAGTGGGGGGTTCTCTTGGTTTTTCCTTGTTTTTTTCAATGGTTTGCATGCAGAGGGGGTGGGACTCAGTTTCCCTGCGTGTTACTGGTTGAACGAGGTGATGGGAGAGGGAGTTTCATAGAATCATAGAATATCAGGGTTGGAAGGGACCTCAAAGCAGGACCAGTCCCCAACTAAACCACCCCAGCCAGGGCTTTGTCAAGCCTGACCTTAAAAACTTCTAAGGAAGGAGATTCCACCACCTCCCTAGGTAACGCATTCCAGTGTTTCACCACCCTCCTAGTGAAAAAGTTTTTCTTAATATCCAACCTAAACCTCCCCCACTGCAACTTGAGACCATTACTCCTTGTTCTGTCATCCGCTACCACTGAGAACAGTCTAGATCCATCCTCTTTGGAACCCCTTTCAGGTAGTTGAAAGCAGCTATCAAATCCCCCCTCATACTTCTCTTCCGCGGACTAAACAATCCCAGTTCCCTCAGCCTCTCCTCATAGGTCATGTGTTCCAGTCTCCTAATCATTTTTGTTGCGCTCCGCTGGACGCTTTCCAATTTTTGCACATCCTTCTTGTAGTGTGGGGCCCAAAACTGGACACAGTACTCCAGATGAGGCCTCACCAATGTCGAATAGAAGGGAACGATCACGTCCCTTGATCTGCTGGCAATGCCCCTACTTATACATCCCAAAATGCCATTGGCCTTCTTGGCAACAATGGAACACTGTTGACTCGTATCCAGCTTCTCGTCCACTGTAACCCCTAGGTCCTTTTCCGCAGAACTGCTGCCGAGCCATTCAGTCCCTAGTCTGTAGTGGTGCATGGGATTCTTCCATCCTAAGTGCAGGACTCTGCACTTGTCCTTGTTGAACCTCATCAGATTTCTTTTGGCCCAATCCTCTAATTTGTCTAGGTCCCTCTGTATCCTGTCCCTACCCTCCAGCATATCTATCTCTCCTCCCAGTTTAGTGTCATCTGCAAACTTGCTGAGGGTGCAGTCCACGCCATCCTCCAGATCATTTATAAAGATATTGAACAAAACTGGCCCCAGGACCAACCCTTCGGGCACTCCACTTGATACCGGCTGCCAACTAGACATGGAGCCAGTGATCACTACCGATTGAGCCCGAGGATATAGCCAGCTTTCTATCCACCTTATAGTCCATTCATCCAGCCCATACTTCTTTAACTTGCTGGCAAGAATACTGTGGGAGACCGTGTCAAAAGCTTTCCTAAAGTCAAGGAACAACACGTCCACTGCTTTCCCTCATCCACAGAGCCAGTTATCTCGTCATAGAAGGCAATTAGGTTAGTCAGGCATGACTTGCTCTTGGTGAATCCATGCTGACTGTTTCTGATCACTTTCCCCTCCTCTAAGTGCTTCAGAATTGATTCCTTGACCTGCTCCATGATTTTTCCAGGGACTGAGGTGAGGCTGACTGGCCCGTAGTTCCCAGGATCCTCCTTCTTCCCTTTTTTAAAGATGGGCACTACAGTAGCCTTTTTCCAGTCGTCCGGGACTTCCCCCAATCACCATGAGTTTTCAAAGATAATGGCCAATGGCTCTGCAATCACATCCACCAACTTCTTTAGCACTCTCGGATGCAGCGCATCCGGCCCCATGGACTTGTGCTTTTCTAAAAAGCTTTTCTAAATAGTCCCAAACCACTTCTTTCTCCACAGAGGGCTGGTCACCTCCTCCCCATGCTGTGCTGCCCAGCGCAGTAGTCTGGGGGCTGACCTTGTTCGTGAAGACAGAGGCAAAAAAAGCATTGAGTACATTAGCTTTTTCCACATCCGCTGTCACTAGGTTGCCTCCCTCATTCAGTAAGGGGCCCACACTTTCCTTGACTTTCTTCTTGTTGCTAATATACCTGAAGAAACCCTTCTTGGTACTCTTTACATCTCTTGGTAGCTGCAACTCCAAGCGTGATTTGGACTTCCTGATTTCACTCCTGCATGCCCGAGCAATATTTTTATACTGTATCCCGGTCATTTGTCCAATCTTCCACTTCTTGTAAGCTTCTTTTTTGTGTTTAAGATCAGAAAGGATTTCACTGTTAAGCCAAGCTGGTCGCCTGCCATATTTACTATTCTTTCTACTCATCAGGATGGTTTGTCCCTGTAACCTCAATAAGGATTCTTTAAAATACAGCCAGCTCTCCTGGACTCCTTTCCCCCTCATGTTATTCTCCCAGGGGATCCTGCCAATCAGTTGCCTGAGGGAGTCAAAGTCTACTTTTCTGAAGTCCAGGATCCGCAATTCTGCTGCTCTCCTTTCTTCCCTGTGTCAGGATCCTTAACTCAACCATCTCCTGGTCACTGCCTCCCAGGTTCCCATCCAGTTTTGCTTCCTCTACTAATTCTTCCCGGTTTGTGAGCAGCCGGTCAAGAAGAGCTCTGCCTCTAGTTGGTTCCTCCAGCACTTGCACCAGGAAATTGTCCCCTACACTTTCCAAAAACTTCCTGGATTGTCTGTGCACCGCTGTATTGTTCTCCCAGCAGATATCAGGGTGATTGAAGTCTCCCATGAGAACCAGGGCCTGCGATCCAATAACTTCCGTGAGTTGCCAGAAGAAAGCCTCGTACACCTCATCTCCCTGGTCCGGTGGTCTATAGCAGACTCCCACCAGGACATCATCTTTGTTGCTCACACTTCTAAACTTAATCCAGAGACTCTCAGGTTTTTCTGCAGTTTCATACTTGAGCTCTGAGCAGTCATACTGCTCCCTTACATACAGTGCAAGTCCCCTACTTTTTCTGCCCTGCCTGTCCTTCCTGAACAGTTTATATCCATCCATGACAGTACTCCAGTCATGTGAGTTATCCCACCAAGTCTCTGTTATTCCAATCACATCATAATTCCTTGACTGTGCCAGGACTTCCAGTTCTCCCTGCTTGATTCCCAGGCTTTGTTGTTTGTTGTTACAGAGGACCAGGGACAGAACTTGGGACCCCGGCCAATGGCCTGGAGAATGGATACCCCAGCGACTGGTGACCTGGTGACCAGGAGGCCCAGCTCAGGAGTCACAGCTGGCTCTGGCCAGAGGGAAGACAATGGGCTGTGAAGAGAGGACCCGGGTCACCTGACCAGGCAGTTCCAGCCAGAGGGGGCCAAAGGAGGGCTGAGAGGAGAGGAGGCCCAGGGGCCCTGTTTACCAGGAGAAGCAGGGGGCCTCGGGACTGGAGAGAGAGAGCAGGCAGAGCTCACCTGGATGCAGGCGAGACTTGGATGTGCTGTGCTGGGGGAGGGCAGGCCTGAGGGCCCTGAGAGTTTCCTATGCTGTGTTCAGACGCTCAATAAACCCTCCTGTTTTACGCCGGCTGAGAGGCGCTCCGGTCTAGAGAACAGGGTTGCATTATTCCCTCTGGGAGTGGAGGCCCCGGGGGTCCAGAGCCAGTGGACTCCCTGAGGGGGCCCCGGTGAGAGACAGGTGTGCTAAGGCTCAGAGAGGTGCGGTTCCAGGAGAAGGAGGGGCTTAACCCCGAGAGAGACTGGATCCCCGAGAAGGGCTGTCGCACTGAAGGGGTTCCCCCCAAGGCCTGCACGGGGCCAAGAGTGGGCACGACCTGTGAGTCCGTGACAGTAACTGTTAATAAACAGAGGTTAAGGATATTTCTGTGTGAAGCTCTTTCACTGGTAAAACACCCTGCAAACCCACAGAGTGTGAGGAGACGCCCTGGGCCCATGGAAGGGTGAGGGTGGGTGCTTAAATTAAGAGGGTTACCCCTTGAGCCCCAGGACCAGAGTAAAGGTGGGTGCCCAAGAGTGTATGGGGAACAATGCCTGAACCCTGCTGTCTCTAAGGGGACGAAGGGAGCTCAGCCTTGGCAGCGTAGCCCATCCTTGGTCTCCCTGCTCAGGCAGTTCTGGTCTGCATGACATGGGCCTTCCTGACCCTCTACCAACTAAACAGGCCCCAACACCCTAGTGGTACCTTGATAGGGCCCAGTCAGCACGTACCAGGACAGACTCCTAGCTCAGAGGGGTAAATCCAGAGCAGTCACATTGATTTCAACAAAGTTCTCCCATATTTACACCCGCGGATTCAGGTATTTATTTTACGCTGTCATAGGAGAATCGATTGGCTCAGCGAGCCAGCCTGTGTGACAGCAGCCACTGGCCCCAGTGCCACTGTGTCACCCGAGAGCTACACAGAACTGAGCAGGAGTGACATTTCCATTGTAGCAGCTTCCACAGACAAGGGGCCAAGATCAAAGCTATTTAACCCTAGAATGATGAGGGGCCCCAAGAAAATGACTCTGCCAGCACTGCCTGCTGCTAACACGCCCTTCACCCTAGCCTCCAGGCTCCCGCAGGGGCTGCAATTTATCCTGCAGCCTCCTCTGAGCTGACAACTCTTCCTCGCTACAACCCACTAACCTCAGGCTGACAGACAGGAGACAGATCTCCCTTCAGAGCCAGCCCCTCTTTAATCAGGCCAGCCACAGCTCTAAGGCACAACTACTTTTGCTCTCCATCCTACACACAGAGTGTAGCTCACAGGCCCCAAGATCCAGGTTCAGGGAAGAGGTTCCAAGCCCCATCGCTGGGGCCTGAATTTTAGCTTTCACAGAAACTCCATCATAGAATATAAGGGTTGGAAGGGACCCCAGAAGGTCATCTAGTCCAACCCCCTGCTCGAAGCAGGACCAATTCCCAGTTAAATCAGGAGGAAACGATCCCATGTGATGGTTTCAAAGTCTCCACAAAGCCAATTTTGCATGAAGTTAAGTTAGGACTTCCTCTGAGACTCCCCTGCAAGCCAGACCTCATGCCCTAGGGCCAGCGCATGGGAGCCGGAAACTGAAACTGACTAGGAACGAAAGCAAAACTGACCAGGTTGCGGGGGGGAAGCATCACTGTTCAAAACCTGGAGTCAAAAGCAGAACAGAAGAGAGTGAAAAAGGGGAATGATCCAAACTGATTTTTCTTAGCTCCAAACTTGTCACGCCAGGAAGGTTTGTTCTCAGGATACAAGAGATACAGACTGTGCCCTTCGACCCCTTCAGCACAACTTTGGTTTTAAATAGGAAATAAATCAAGGGGATTGTGGGAGTCGGGGGCAGACAGAGCCCAGGGCCGGGCTGGCAAGCGAAGGACAGCTACTTTGAAAGAATACTCTAGCTTGACGAGGAATGGAAAGTTGACGGCCTGGAGGATCCGTTTCTCGTTGAGGGTGTGCTCAGTTTGTTTCAGCTTCACTACCTGGGAGAGAAAAGGAAGTAGCAACATCAGATCTTCCTCTGCTGGCACAGCACCCCCTATGCCTCCCACGCACTCCCCTCTCCAGCATCCCCACGCAGGATTCAGCCCCAAATCTCTCCCCCGCACTGGGGAGTCCACGGCCCCAGGGCAGATCTCTACGGCAGCCCCCAGTGTCTTACCTTCTGCTTATCCAGGATCTTCATGGCATAGTGATTCCCGGTCTCTTTGTGTTTCACCAGCATCACCCTCCCAAATGAGCCCGTGCCCAGGGTCTTGATTCGATCAAACTGATCCAAACTGGCTGTGTTCTGGAAGGGGGAAAACAAATGTGATGTGGGGCCAGACTGGTCCTGGGGGCATCAGGAAGGAACCTGCTCGCGACAGTGGGATTTGCACTGCAAGACCGGCGGGGTCTTTACTGACCATGAGGGGGTCAGAGCTTCGTTTTTTATAGCTCACCAGAAAGGCAGCCCCTCCAGGGTCAGCACTGACTGTGATGGGAGAGCGCTCCCTACTGAGCCCGCCACTCATAGAATCATAGAATCATAGAATATCAGGGTTGGAAGGGACCCCAGAAGGTCATCTAGTCCAACCCCCTGCTCAAAGCAGGACCAATTCCCAGTTAAATCATCCCAGCCAGGGCTTTGTCAAGCCTGACCTTAAAAACCTCTAAGGAAGGAGATTCTACCACCTCCCTAGGTAACGCATTCCAGTGTTTCACCACCCTCTTAGTGAAAAAGTTTTTCCTAATATCCAATCTAAACTTCCCCCACTGCAACTTGAGACCATTACTCCTCGTTCTGTCATCTGCTACCATTGAGAACAGTCTAGAGCCATCCTCTTTGGAACCCCCTTTCAGGTAGTTGAAAGCAGCTATCAAATCCCCCCTCATTCTTCTCTTCTGCAGGCTAAACAATCCCAGCTCCCTCAGCCTCTCCTCATAACTCATGTGTTCCAGTCCCCTAATCATTTTTGTTGCCCTTCGCTGGACTCTCTCCAATTTATCCACATCCTTCTTGAAGTGTGGGGCCCAAAACTGGACACAGTACTCCAGATGAGGCCTCACCAATGTCGAATAGAGGGGAACGATCACGTCCCTCGATCTGCTCGCTATGCCCCTACCTATACATCCCAAAATGCCATTGGCCTTCTTGGCAACAAGGGCACACTGCTGACTCATATCCAGCTTCTCGTCCACTGTCACCCCTAGGTCCTTTTCCGCAGAACTGCTGCCTAGCCATTCGGTCCCTAGTCTGTAGCTGTGCATTGGGTTCTTCCGTCCTAAGTGCAGGACCCTGCACTTATCCTTATTGAACCTCATCAGATTTCTTTTGGCCCAATCCTCCAATTTGTCTAGGTCTTTCTGTATCCTATCCCTCCCCTCCAGCGTATCTACCACTCCTCCCACACACTCCCTGCAGCACAGCACCCGCTAGCCCCGCACTGGGGTTGTTCTTGAGAACATTGATATGAAGACAGAAAAGGAGGACCTGTGGCACCTTAGAGACTAACAAATTTATTTGAGCATAAGATTTCGTGGGCTACAGCCCACTTCATTGGATGCATGCAGTGGAAAATACAGTGGGGAGATTTTATATACACAGAGAACATGAAACAATGGATGTCACCATACACACTGTAAGGAGAGTGATCAGGTAAGGTGAGCTATTTCCAGCAGAAGAGCAGGGGAAGGGGGGAACCTTTTGTAGTGATAATCAAGGTGGGTCATTTCCAGCAGTTGACAAGAACGTGTGAAGAACAGTGGCGGGGGGGGGGGGGGGGAATAAACATGGGGAAATAGTTTTACTTTGTGTAATGACCCATCCACTCCCAGTCTTTATTGAAGCCTAAGTTAATTGTGTCCAGTTTGCAAATTAATTCCAATTCAGCTGTCTCTCGTTGGAGTCTGTTTTTGAAGTTTTTTTGTTGAAGAATTGCCACTTTTAGGTCTGTAAGCGAGTGACCAAAGAGATTGAAGTGTTCTCCAACTGGTTTTTGAATGTTACAATTCTTGACGTCTGATTTGTGTCCATTTATTCTTTTATGTAGAGACTGTCCAGTATGGCCAATGTACATGGCAGGGGGGCATTGCTGGCACTTGATGGCATATATCACATTGGTAGATGTGCAGGTGAACGAGCCTCTGATAGTGTGGCTGATGTGATTAGGCCTAATGATGGTGTCCCCTGAATAGATCTGTGGACACAGTTGGCAACGGGCTTTGTTGCAGGATAGGTTCTGGGTTAGTGGTTCTGGTGAGTATTTGCTTCAGGTTGGGGGGCTGTCTGTAAGCAAGGATGGGCCTGTCTCCCAAGTCCCTTTCCCCTCTGGGCCTCAGTTTCCCCATCTGTGCCATGATGTTAATGACACAGGGTGTGCGGGAGGACTAGCAAAGTGACAGTGCTGCAGAGGGACCAGCAGCTCTGCCTCAGGAATTACCCACAACCACCCCAGGCGGGATTTCCAGAGGGGATAGACCCAGGGCACTGGGGCACTGCGCTCAAGCGCAGACAGCAAATGGAGGCCCTTTGAACAGGGTCCCTGTTAGCACAACCCCCCTGGGAGCCAATCTGGGGCTGGGCTGGGCGACCGCGCTGGAGCCTTGGAAGGAGGATGTGGGAGGGGGAGACAGCCTGGATCAGGAGGAGTCCCACATGGTTAGTGTCCCCCTCCCACAGCAGAGAGGAGTCGAAACTACAAAGGCCTTGATTAGGCGGCGGTGGGGGGTGATCTGGGTTGGGGGCACAGTACCTGGGAGGGGTTCTCCCATTTCTTGAGGAAGTCTTCTTTGGCTTTGGCTAGGAACTCCTTCACTGTAAGGGAAAGAGAGAGGGAGCAGCATGAGGAGTCAGGAGGGGGGGCACCCAGCCTGGTGGACAAAGCTCCCCTTTCAGCCCCACCCCGGCTCAGCGAAGAGGCACACAGTCACAACAGGGCCGGGGATTTTAAGCGTATCAGCAGGATGGCGGTGCCTGATTGGCTACAAAGGGCAGCTCAGCTGAGGATTGGCGAGAGAGAGATGCATGCGGGTGCGCTCCCGCAATACCGCCACCCCCGTGCCTGCCCCTAGACAGACCGAACAGTCCCGTCAGGGAGGGCTAATGCACTTGTGCCTCTATCCCCCCACTTGGGGTGCCTGTTCCACGCCCCTCGACACACAACCTGCACCCCACAAGGAGACACTCGTACAACCCTCCAGTCAAATGACGTTAAGATGCGTGGATCACGTTGCCCTAATGGGAGGATACGGGATCTACTACTGCTGCCAGCAAAGGGGGGTGAAGGGGAAGGAGATTCCCCCTTAGCTCAAAGGGCAGAGGCCTGTGTGTAGCCTTCTCTCAACCATGCAGGCCTCACAGATCAATGACACAAACAGCCCACAAGGGGGTGCTCCACACACACACACACAAACACCCATGAAAGTCACAAACCTCAGCTGGGCTTTGCCCACAAAGGGGTTAAAATAACCTGCCACAGCCACAGCAGCAGCCTGGGACCAGACAAGTGTCCCACTCTCTGGCATCCAGCCAGGTGGACCTTCCTTCGCCAGCCGGGCTCCCTGTCCTTGCTGCCAGATCCCAGAACCATGGGAGGGAGGAAGCGGGATGAGGGTTGGAGCAATCTGCAGCATCTGGAGGGATATTTGGTACTGAGAGGCCTTTTATCTTCGCTGCCTCCTGCTGCTCCCAACAGGGACAAGTCCCGCAGCTCTTAACAGTGCAAGAGATGCCCACGGGATTGGAATGGCTGCAGCAGCGAGGCCAAGCACAGAGCAGCAGCAGGGGACTGGCTTTGAACCCAGAGCTCACCCCTGCCCCCACCATCACAGGAAGTCTCCCCCACACCGGAGGTGCATAAAGTTAATTGCCTCCACCGGGGATCATTGGTGCTGAGACGCCAGGGAGGGGACAAGCTCAAAGCCTAGATCCAGATGTGGGTGCTGCAGTTCTTGGGGGTCACAGATGCACAACCCAGGAGTCAACTCCCTGCCACCCCACTCTCTCCATTACAACCCACTCCCTTCCCAGAGTTGGAGACAGAACCCCAGGAGCCCCCCACTTTAATCACTAAATAGCAACACTTCTGTGGAAACCCAGCATCACTGCGCTCTAATCCTGTCATCCCTGCCCTAAAGAAAGGGCTGAGAAATGGGCCAGGCGAGGGCCTGAAATGCACCAGCGAAGCAGGACGACGTCTTATAGATGTGACTGATTCACTGCTGGAGGGAAGGAGACCAAGACCACACCCAGGGGGGCAGATTGTCCAATTGCCACTCCAGGTAGAGCGACTTCCAGCTCAGCCGCACCCTCAGGCAGCCAAAGGGGAGGAGACAAGCACCCACTGCCCTCACACTGTTGCAGCCCACTGCTAGCCGAGCCCTGGGCTCCCCCTCTCAGTTCTGCCAATGCCCTTCAATCCCAACTCGGTTGCATGTGGCTCTTTTGTGGCCCTGGCAGGTCACTATGTCAAAAGCCCCCCACCTCCCCGGAAGGGGCAAGTCAGACCCCTGGGAAATGGTGGGGTTTACGGTCCAGTCTGGCTCCTGTGATGTGATGTTTGTTGGTGTGAAGGATAAAACCTCTCCCAGCTGCAGCACTTCTGCTGCTTGACACCGCAGAACCTGGTCCCTCCTCTGGCTTTTCGGGTGAGAATTTGGGGCCCCTTGAAGATCTTTGGGGGGGGCGTGTCCCCTTTGCACCCCCAGGAGCTCCCTACAACACAGCCCCATGCCAGGGGCACAGGGACGGCAGTTAAAGGCTCTTGCCACTGAGCCCGAATTCCGATAATCCAACACATAAATGTCCAAAGGAAAATGGCTTGGGGTCCTGTCAGGCCTGGTCCGTGGCTGTGGCCTGACGCTGGAGGCTGTGACTGGGGGGGCGGGGGACGCCCTGGGACTGGCTAGTAAAATGGTGTGGTCTGTCACCTGCTCCTGTGATGGGCGGGGGAGGATGGGATCGGGATCTGTGGGTGCGGGTGGGGCATCAATAGAGCCATAATGGGGGGACGGTGCTGACCCCTGCACAGCCTCGCTCTGAAGAACTCCCATGATCCCCCGGGACAGTCAAGCTAAGCGAAACCCCTCGGTGCTGGGAATGAGCCCCCCTCCCATCAGCTCCGGGCCCCAGGGGCTGAGATCCTCTGACCTACCCCCCAACCCCGCTTTCCTGCCGACCCCCCAAGGACACCCCCCGGCAGTCCCAGCTGCCCCAGCCTGGCGTGCGGGAAGCAGCTGCAGAACTGCCAGGCAGGGAAGGAGCCAGCATGTCTGGCATTGATCAGCTTGGAGTTTGTCCACGTGGAAAGCTTTTAAATCCTCGGTAATTTCCTTGGGTGTTTCGAGCAAAGTGGGGAAGGTCGGGATGGGGTAAGGGCCGAGGGCTGGGGGCTGACCAAAGTGTAACAGAGACCCCAGCCCTGGAGGTGCCTTGTTCTGGAAGTGGGAAAGAAAGAGGCAAAGGGGAGAGGGATAGCTCTGTGGTTTGAGCATTGGCCTGCTAAACTCAAGGTTGTGAGTTCAATCCTTGAGTGGGCCATTTAGGGATCTGGGGCAAAAATTGGGGATTGGTCCTGCTTTCTGAGCAGGGGTTGGACTGGATGATCTCCTGAGGTCCTTTCCAACCCTGATATTCTATGAAAGAAAAAGAATGAAAAATGTAGGAAAGAATCCAAGTCTCCCAGGAGAGTTGGTGCCTGGGTCTGTCTTTTAACCCTGCCTGTGGTTAAAGCAGCTCCCTCCATCACTAGGGGGAGCCAGTGTTGGACCCTTGCTCTAGGACACCTACACTTTTTGGACCAATGATCCAGACACGGCAGCGTTTGGGGGACTTGCTTAGGAACCCAGTGACCTCATTGATCTAGGCCAGGGATGGGCAAACTACGGCCTGGGGGCTGGATCTGGCCCGCGAGCCCTTTTAAGCCGGTCTGCGAGCTCCCACTGGGGAGCGGGGTCTGGGGCTTGCCCCGCTCCAGCACTCCAGATGGGGTACAGTGTTTGGGCCACATCACACAGCTCCCGGAAGCTGCGGCATGGCCCCACTCCAGCTCCTAAGCACTCCAATGGGAGCTTCAGGGGCGGTGCCTGCAGATGGGGCAGCGCGCAGAGCCACCTGGCCACGCCTCCGCAAAGGAGCCAGAGAAGGGACACACTGCTGCTGCTTCTGGGAGCAGCTTGAGGTAAGCACCGCCCGGAGCCTGTGCCCCTGAGCCTCTCCTCATGCCCCAACCCTCTGCCCCACCCCTGATCCCCCTCCCACCCACCTCAGTCCCAGCCCAGAGCACCCTCCTTCACCCCAAACCTCTCATCCCCCCCCCAGAGCCCACACCCCCAACTAGAGCCCTCCCCCTCCTCCCCGCACCGCAACCCCAATTTTGTGAGCATTCATGGCCCGCCATACAATTTCTATTCCCTGATGTGGCCCTCAGGCCAAAAAGTTTGCCCACTCCTGATCTAGGCTATTGGGGCGAAGGCCCTCTAGAACCTAGATCACAACAGTATTTTGGCATTGTTCTAGCCCACATCAGTTTAGTGTCAATCTAGAACATGCTGCAGCATTCTGGAGCCCGAGTCTAGAACACCATGGCATTTTGCTGTTCGTGTTTACACTGGGGTGTGGTCAGGGATCACCCGGCACTGTACATACATGCAACAAAATGACACAGGAGATGACGGCCGTAGCATTTTGGAGGTTGGTTCCAGAAAGCAGTGGGGGCAATGCAGCCCAGGGGCCAGCACTCTGCCCTGTGACTCAGAAGCCAACGGGGGTTCCAGCCCTGGGTCTACCAGAGCCCTGGGCTGAATAGGTGCCGCTCCATAGCCCAGTTATGACCATTTCAGAGCCTGTCAAACAAGGGGGTTTCCATCTAAACCGTCTCTCTACCGCCAGGGAAAGGGACCCAGAGCTAGTGTGGAAACAAAAACCCAGCTTAATACTTCACATCGCAAATGCAGTCGCTGGTTTCCCTTCTCTTCTTTCTCTTTACAAAGAGGTTTGAAGGACTTTTAGTGGGGTGTTTGCCAAGGGACTGAGCAGGGTGAGGTCTCTGGATACCAGCGCCCGAACCTTGTTTAATGTGGGAGAGGGACTGGGTTCCGTTACCGCCTTTGGGCCCCTGTATTCCAGCTAAATCAATACAGAGCTCCGACGAGACAATCAGGCCAGGCAGCCTAGGTGGGCTGAAGTGTTTCAGGCAGCTAATCTAGAACGCTGCAGGATGTGGGGGCAAATGCTCAAGAATACCAGTGTCCAGAAAGAGCATGTCGTTTTGCATCATTGCTCTAGAAAGCCATGTTACTGTGGGCTGCGACTCTAGAATCCCACAGCATTTGGACCAGGCCTCCAGACTCACCACATTATTGTATCTAGAATGCTCGGTGCGACTTGGTGCGACTGCTCTGGACCAGCCCTGTGTTTCTGGACACGACTCTCAAATGTCACAGCACTCGAGATGATATTCTGGAATGCCTCCATGCCTTAGGCCGTGACTCTAGAATATTGCCAGGTTTGGACCAGGCCTCCAGAACACAGCACACCTTTTGGGTTGCGGCTCTAGAACACCACACTGTCTGAAGCCCTGCCTCTAGAATGCCAGGGCACATGGGGGCCCATTATGAGAACTCTGCAGTATCTGGGCCCATCGTTCTAGAACACAGCAGCATCGCGCCCCATGGCGCTAGACCAGGGGTGGGCAAACATTTTGGCCCACGGGCCACATCTGGGTAGGGCAATTCTATGACAGGCCATGAATGCTCATGAAATTGGGGGTTGGGGTGCGGAAGGGAGTGAGGGCTCCAGCTGGGGGTCCGGGCTCTGAGGTGGGGCTGCAGATGAGGGGTTGGGAGTGCAGGAGGGTGCTCCGGGCTGGGACCAAGGGGTTTGGAGGGTGGGAGGGGGGTCAGGGCTGGGAAAAGGGTGTGGGGTGGGTGCAGGCGCCAGGCGGTGCTTACCTCAAGCAACTCCCAGAAGCAGCAGCATGTCCCTGCTCCAGTTCCTACGGAGAGGTGCAGCCAGGCAGGTCTGTGCACTGCCCCATCCGCAGGCACCACCCCTGCAGCTCCCATTGGCTATGGTTCCTGGCCAATGGGAGCTGCAGGGATGGCACTTGGGGCGGGGGCAGCATGCCCCTATGTGTAGGAGCGAGAGGGGGGACATGCCGCTGCTTCCAGGAGCCACGCGGAGGAGGGGAAACCCTGGACCCCACTGCCCAGTGGGAGCTCAAGGGCCAGATTAAAATGTCTGGAGGGCCGGATACAGCCCCTGGGCCATAGTTTGCCCACCCCTGCTCTAGACCAACACGGGAAATGGGCTCGTGGCTCTAGAATGCCATCCAGGTCTGTTTCTGTGACTCTCATCGCCCTTTCCTGTCTCTGCCCCACAAACTGTTCCTACCTTGATTGTGCAGTCCAGATTGGATGCTGTTCTAAGAGATCTGCTCCAGGAATCGTTTGGGGGAAGTCCTATGGCCTGTGTTCTCCAGGAGGTCAGACCAGATGATCCCACCGGTCCCTTGGAAGCTCGGACTCTATTTTGTCCTGTTCTCACCATGCTGGCCTGTTCTGCGCCCCTCTCTCCCCCCACTGCCCGATCTGCACCCCGGAAGCCCTGACTCTCCATTCACAGATGCCTGGCCTGGCACATTGGGCTCTTTGATACCAATTTTAGTTCTCCAATTTGCTTTAAAGTGCCATAGATTGCTCCAAGGGCGACTCTTGGGGAAGTGCGGCAGCCAGGGCTCTCGGAAACAGGCAAAGGGAGGGGAGGAATAACTCCATTTGGAGGAGGAAAAATAATCACAGCTTCTGACAGATGATCTCATCCCCCCCCCCCCAGTAACCCAGTGGTTTGGGCACTCACCTCTGCTGGGGAAAAGCAAGGTCCTGCTCTCACTCCAATGTAGAATGGGATTGAATTTGAAACCCTCAAATTCTCTCTCAAAACACAATCAGTTTCCAGCCCGATCGCACTTGGAACCCCCTTGTGCGAGGGGCTGTATGGAAGGGCTCATCACTTTCATTTTATTCCTGATCAACTACCTTTCATTCACAGGGGTTTCCTCTCTCCCCCCCACCACACCGGGAATTAGCTGGCGTCTCATTATTTGATCCCCTTTGGAAGCAGATTCACACACATGGCAGGAGTTGCCCTGCAGTAAGGAAGGTGTGCACATATCCACACTTTGCGGAGAGTATTCTGCTACTGGCAATCCCCTGCATTGCTGCACACCGGGGTCGGCCTGGCTGTTCTCCTCTCCTGCCCCGGCCTCATAAGGCGAGATTATCAATTCAGACAGGACCACTGTGAGCACCTCGTCTGACCTGCGTAACACAGGCCACAGGACTTCCCTGAATCAACTCCTGTTGGAATTGGAGCTGATCCTTTAGAAAAACCTCCCATCTGGATTTAAACAGCGTCAGTGATGAAGAATCCACCACGATGCTTGGTGAATTGTTCCAACGGCTAATTACACCCCCTCTCAACACCCCAGTTAAAAATCTGCCCTTTTTTCCTGTCTGAATGTTTCTAGTTTCAGCTTCCAGCCACTGGCTCTCCTTCGACCTTCGTCTGCTCGCGGGACTCGCCCATTATCACAGTTTTATTCCCCATGTGGGTACTTCGAGACAGGGATCACGGCACCCCTTAACCTTCGCTTTAAGAAGCTCCTTGCCTCTGAGCATAAGGCAGGTTCCCCCCCATTTAATCGTTCTCATGGCAACTCTCTGCCCCTCTCCAATTTTTCCCCTTCCTTCTCGAACTGTGGGTGTCAGACCTGGCCATGCTATTCCAGCAGCTGTCGCCCCCCACCAGACACCGAGATAAAATAACCGCTCCGCTGCTGCTTGCGATGCCCGTTTATCCATCGGCCAGACACCCCCCCACCCCATTGACGCGCGGACACTCGCCCCTTGGGGCTTCCAACTCCAGGCGAGTTCAGGTCCCGCTTATGGCAGCCGCCGGCCCCCCGGCTCCATCCCTGAACACCTTGGGCCTCCGGGGAGAGGAACAGCTCCCGGCTCATCCCAGCCACGACAACTGTCCCCTGGAGCCCAACAGCCCACACGCCAGTCTGATTTTATTTTTTTTAAACAAAACTTTATTGGTAATTGTTTCAAATATGTTGACAACAAAGCACACTGTTAAAGAGGAAGTGGGGGCTGGGGGGGTTGTTTTGTTTTTTCCAGTGAAACAAGTTTTGTCGGCGGACACAGATGTGTTTCCCAGGGCGGGGCGGATGATACCCTCACCCTCTAGACGGGACTCTCAAGCTTCTTTGTGGAAAAGGGGGATTTGAGGGGAAGGGGGGAGGGCTAGCCACGGGGCTCCCCCCTCCGCTCCTGACAGCGCTCATGTATTTATAATATATATAATTTATCTATGAAACCAAAAGAAGCTCACACACCTTCGCCCCGGAGAGAAACAAGAAATTCAACCGGCTGGTGAATACACACAGTGGGAGACAGGCTCGGGGGGTCAGGACAGGACCACCCCACTGATGCACTGCATTGGGGGCGGGGGGGTGGGGGAGGGAGGATAAGTAAAGAATCAGACAGGAAGAAAAGTAAATGAACAGAACAAGAGCCCCCCCCCCCACACACACACACGCACCTTCCCTCCTCCCAAATAAAGCAGGATCATGGCTAGGTATCAGCACCCTTCCCCCACCCCCTCCAACCTGACCACAGATCTAATGGAGTCGCTCCTTGGGGGTGTGGGGGGGTGGGGAGATCAGGGCCTAGTTGGGATCTTGAGTTCCTTGCCCCCCCTGCCCCCCATTTGCTGGTATCTCCTCCCGCCTTGTCATCTTAAAATGTAAATCGAAAGCATAAAATCGGAGGTACAGAATGGAGCCCCAGGCTTTAAGGTTATTTCTGCAGGGCACCATTTGGCCTATGGGGGGAGGGAGGGAGGGAGAAGAGTGTACAAGCCCCCACTGACCTGGGCGAAAATAACCAAGTGCCCCAGAACCAGATCCTCCTGCACCCCCCACCCCGACACACAAGAGGACAGACCAAAGAAGGGGTGAGGGTGGGGGGCTGCTCACATTCATAGCCCAGATTCAAAAAGCAGCATTTTATTTCTAAGGGGAGCTAAAAATCCAAAACCCACCAGGGAGATCCCCTCTCCCAGCACCTCCATTCCAGCCTGTAACAGACCCCCAGATCTCCCCGCACTGGTGTAAGATACCCCCAAACCAGACACCCCGCAGAGAGCAGTGGGGGTGGGGAAATACAGTCAAATTCTACCTGAAAAAAAAAAACAGATCTCTCTCTCGTTTTTCCTTGCTAAAACCTAGACACATTCAAAGCTTGGAGAGTTAAAATTCGGGGTGGGGGGGGAAGAAGAGGGGAAGGGAGGTGTCACCAGGGATGGCGGGGGCTGATGTAGGGTAAGGTAGCCCAGCCCCAAGCCTGGATTTTTAAAACCTCTTCCCCCCATGCCCCAAAGGAAAATAAGGTTTAATTTACTTATTTTTCATTTAAAAAAAAAAAAAAAAAAAGGAGAACCCCCCCCCCAAGTTTATAAAATGAGAAAAGATTTCCCTCCTTCTTCCTCTTTCCAGAGTGACGGTGGGGGGCTGAGATTTTGTCTCCCCACCAACTCCCCATGTATGTGGGGGAGGGGGGAGCGGGGGGGGGGGGGGGAAGAATTCAAAGCTATTCTGGAAGCCAAGATGTTGTCCTGCGATGACAGTGCATCTTTGCTCCACACCCTGCTCCCAGAAGGCTTTGCAAATAGCCATGAAGATCTGGGGGCGGGGGGGGGGTAGGGGGAGGAATTTGATGGCAAAATACGCCCCCTGCCCCCCCTTCAAAAACTAAAAGCCACCAATAAAGCCGGCCAGGACGGTGGGGGTACAGCACGTGTGGATTAAGAGGCAGTGTGGGGGTAACCGGATCGGTGCGAGGGGGTGGAAAGTAACCAGTGGGAGCTGAGTGTGTGTGTGTGGGGGGATCTGGTTAAACCCCCGGTGAGGGGGGATGATGAGAGCTGCAGGCTTGTGATGGCGGGGGGGAGGAAAGCATGTGCAAGTGGGGGGATCAGGGGTGCGCATGGGAGAAATTAGACTCCTGCCCTTCTCTACTGTCATTTACTTAGTACAGGTTTAGAATAAGGGGTCTCCCGCTCCCCCCCAAACCAGATCCAGGCAAATCCCTACCCCCCACCCACAAAAATAAAATACACAGGCAAGGAACTCGGGTCTTTCTGCTGATCAAAATCAACCCCGCCCCCACCTGCTCCGTGCGCACCCTCCCGAGCGGGGGGAGGGGGGGAAGGCTGCCGCTGGCCCTAGAACTCAGCAAACTCCTTGGCGCACTTCTCAGTGATGGAGACCCGGATCTCCTCTTCCTCGTAGTCGTCGAAGTTACTCGTGTCGCCGGGGCCTTTGCACTTTGGTATAAAGGGAGCTTCCACCTGCAAAGGGAGGGGAGGGGGAGGTTGGGGACAAGGTGAGGGATCAACATTAGCATCTCCCCCCCCACTCCTGGGTCTGCTAGGGGTGCATGATCAGGCCCCAACTTTGCAACAAGGCAGGCAAGGATCAGCCCCCCCCCCCCCCCCCCTACTCTCCAGCCAGAAACCCACACACTTTGCAATCATGGAAGGGGGAGCCCATGACCCCGCTTAGGAGCCCAGGAGCAGGGCCCCCAGCACTCTTAAGGATACAGGATCGGGCCTCTTCGCAACCAGGTGAGGGATGCAGGATCAGCGCCTCCTCAAGCCCCCGTTTATCTAGCCAGAACCCCCTCCTCTCACTTTGCAATCAGGGAAGGGCAGGGGGTCACGAGCCCCTTGGATCCCCGTAAGAGCCCCCACTTGCATCATCAGGAGGGTTTTAATGAGGACCTTCAGCCCAGCCCTCTCCCACCAGACATGGAGAAATAACGCCATTAGCTGGCAGCAGCAGTAGTAGGCTGTTATCCTCAGGGGGTGGGGACAGGACCTTGCTTTTGCCACCATGTTACAAATAGGTGACTGAGGGCACCCGACTTTAAACCAATGCTGGGTGAGCATATCTCCCCTTAGTGGTTGCACCCAGCCACAACACCCTGCTACAGAGTCCCAGGAACCAATGCGCTCCTAGAGGCCTGGGCACTGATGATCACAGGTTCAATTCCTGCTGACGGAGGCTGCACCAGGTGGGAGTTACCCAGGCTCTCCTCTGCCTGCCGCCGCCCTCCTACCTTCCTCTGGTAGACGGCGATCCAGTCGGTGGTAGCAAACCACTTGTGGTTCTTGATGTCGTTGACCCCGTTCTTGAGGTTGCCAAAGCGTTTGGTGAGGTCCACCTGCAGCAGGTTCCGGAGCAGGTCCTTCAGGTCTGAGCTGAAGTGAGAAGGGAACCGGACCTGGGGTGGGGAGGAGACACAGAGGTCTGGCTATTACCTGCCCTGCCCTTCCTTGTGGCTAGATTCATAGATACACCTAGTAATGTACAGCCCCTAGCACAGGGGGGTCCTGGGCTATGCCTGGGGGCTGAGATACGACCGTAATACACCTAATATGTACATCACCTAGCACAATGGGGTCCTGCTCCATGACTGGGACTTGTTTGCATTATTCGGTGTATTACACCTGATAATGCCTACAACAAGCCCTTTAAAAACACTCCAGAACAATAGAATCATAGAATATCAGGGTTGGAAGGGACCTCAGGAGGTCATCTAGTCCAACCCCCTGCTCAAAGCAGGACCAATCCCCAATTTTTGCCCCAGATCCCTAAATGGCCTCCTCAAGGATTGAACTCACAACCCTGGGTTTAGCAGGCCAATGCTCAAACTGCAGAGCTATCCCTCCCCCCAATAAGTGGACAAGAAGTGGGGGCGGCTACTGAGGACTGACACAGGAGCTGAAATGGTTCATTAGCAGCAGCCCTCCAGCTCTTCTTGAGCATTTTTCCTCCACAGATCTCAAAGCAGGGCTGCTGCATCACTATCCTCATTTTACATAAGGGGAAACTAAGGCACAGGGAGACGTGACTTGCCCAAGGTCACTCAGCAGGCTGGTAGGAGAACCGCGAACAGAACCCAGGCCTGTTGAGTTCCACTAGGCCACACAACTTTGTTTTTTTAAAACCCCACTAGGTTTAAAGCTGACCGTGTCCGACACGAGTGCTTGGAGATCCTTGGCGAGAAGGCGCTGGGGTGGGCAGAGGAATATTATGGGCTCTTGGTTACTATGGTGATGAGGTGCCTGGAGGTGACTGATGTGTTTAAGGAACGTTTAGTCTTGAAACGTAGCAGGGTTGAGGAGAGTTTTGCAATTCACAACCGTGTATAAGAAAACCAAAGGCACCTGTTCCAGGAGTCCCCATGAGAGTTACAGGGAGCCCAATGGTGATGGGGTGGGGGATGCAGTCCATGTGTTGGGGAAGTAGGGGTATGTCGCGAGAGAGGGTCCATGTGTGGGGGACACAATGGGGAGGATGTCCATGTGTTGGAGAACAGGGGTATGTGGCAAGGGAGGGTCTATGTGTTGGGGTGCAGGGGAATGGGATACATGACAGGGAGGATGCCCATGTCTTGGGGATTGGGGGAGCATGGGAGGGAATTAGCATGTGTGGGGTGCAGTGTGTGAGCATCTCTCTGGTCCGTTGCTGAGACTTGGCACCCCACTTTTGCTGGTGAACCCCCCCTCAAAATATCACACAAGTGTCCCCTCCCCCAGCCCAAATACCTTGCCAGAGACAATCTTCTCGTAGATCTGAATGGGCTGGTCCGCGAAGAATGGGGGGTAACCAGCCGCCATCTCGTAGATGAGGACACCCAGAGCCCACCAGTCCACAGCCTTGTTATAACCCTGCCCGGGGAAAGCAGACCAGGGTCACGCACTGAATATTTGAGGTGTGGGGGGAAACCACCTGGTGGCCAAGGATCAGCTAGAGATCAGGCAGCAGACAGGCCCTCCCCAGCTCACCTTGCTGAGGATGATCTCGGGGGCCAGGTATTCCGGGGTCCCACACAGAGTCCAGGTTCGGCCTTTCACCCGCTTGGCAAAACCAAAATCCGTCACCTGGAGCCAAAACACAGAGAGGGGAGAAGCTGGATCAGCCCGGGGGCTGTGACAGCAGGAGGGGAAGGGAGGAAGCAGATGACTGATGTATTCTGGCCGTGTTATGTTTCTGGGGGTGTCTTGGCTTTGAGAAGGGGATGGCAACAGAGAGAGACTCAGATAGGCAGGAGGTCACTGCAGGGAGCCAGGAGCCAGCGCTGGGATGGGGACGGGAAGGAGTGGGAGAGGGGCGGCAGCGTCACCTCGATGTAGCCCTGCTGGTCTATCAGGAGATTCTCTGGCTTCAGGTCTCGGTAGATGAGATCCAGCGAGTGCAGATACTCGAAGGTCAGGACGATCTGAGCAGCGTAGAACCGGGCGTGAGGTTCACTGCAATGAGGTGGGAGGAGAACGTGGGCATCGCAGACCAGATCCGCCCCCTCTCAGCCAGCCCAGCACCCTCGGCCCCCTGCCGCCCCCACCTTCACCTTCCTTATAGATCCCCAGGCAAGATGCCCCAAACCTTCTAGGCCTGGTGGCCCCATCTGCCCTCGCGCACACATCCCACCCACCATTGCTAGACCCCTGACTCCATTCAGCCTGGCAACCCAGGGCAAGTCCCTCCCAGACCAGCATCTCCCCGCTAGCCTCAACACACACACACACACACACACACACAAACAGGGACCCCCAGCTCCATCCAGCCTGGCCTCATCTAGCCCTGGCATCCCTGCCACTGACCGTGGCTAGTGCTGGCAGAAGACCTCAGCAGCTCTCCCCATGGGGAATCCCTTCCTGACCAGCCCAGCTGGGGATCAGGTCACACCCTGCAGCAGGAGGATCAAAGCCAGCGTCGCTGCAGATGCTGCTAGTGGATAAAAGGTCTAGTTCTCTACTGAACTCAATCCCAAATTTACAGCTGTGGAAACTGAGGCACAGAGTGATTCTCCCCCCTTCCCACAAGGAGTGAATGGCAGAGACAGGAATAGGACCCAGGAGTCCTGATTCCCAGTCCCTCTGCTCTAAGTGCTAGATCCCACCGTCATCCCTGAGCCAGGGATACAACCCAGGAGTCTAAACGCCACCCAGCTCTAACCATTAGCGACACTGTCCCCAACATCGGCTCCCATGGCAACACTCACCTGAACCTCCCAATCCGCCGTAGGTGGGAGAACATCTCCCCGCCCGGGATGTATTCCATCACCATGTACAGATTGGAGTTATCCTAGAAGGAAATGCAGCAGAAACTGAGGGCAAGGCATGGAGCCACTCCGGCCCCCCGTCAGTGCCTGTGACACCGGGATGAAGCTGCTCACCACACCCCGGCTCCTTTATTAGCCCCGTCCTTTTCAGGGCACTAACCCCACATGCCCCAAAGGAGCCTGATGCACTGGCCTGGCTTCCCCATAGCACACAATGCAGTGCACCCGCTGTCTGGGCGATAACAGCCTACTACTGCCACCAGCTGCTGCTGTTACTCCTTTGGCTCAAGGGCCAGAGGGGTTGCGCCGTGGTGCCGAAGGTCCCAGGCACACACCTGCAGTGGGAGTTGCTGCACAGACGCGGCTGGGGAACAGACTCACTAATGAGAGGGCGCAAGCTTTATTTGTTTGGAGTATTTCGTACTAGAGCCCTAGAAAATTCAACCCCTCCCCCTCCTCTGGTTTAGGGGCAGGGATGGGCGAGGACAAGATGGATTTCCCAGCTGTGATGTCTATGATCAAAGGGGAAACCCAACGTGCCGCTAGCTCGGACACCCCAAAAGAGCAGAAGCAGGAAGTGAAACTTGTCAAAAGCAGAGTGTGAAATTGACCAGGCTGGCTCCATCCTCTCTCAGGGCTGCAAAGTCAAAGAGCAGCCTCCGAAGTAACTTCGCTGAGCCCAACAAAACCATTCCGCTAGTGAGACCCGACCCGGCTCAGTGATGAGAACATGAGCACTAAGCACCCGCGCATGCGGAGACCACTGCCCCTGCCCTCGAGCCCAGTGTCAGTTTCCAGCTAGCCCTGGAAAGAGGGTCCAGAGCTAAGCAGGACTCAAGTTTCACTCTATAAACTGGGGTCCAAAAGGAAGTTCTTGGAACCAGGTCCAGGACACAGCCCAATATCAGACCTCAACACCCTGCCAATGACACCGGGCAGAAGCTGGAGACCCAGGACGACCTGATCCTGACTGGCCAGCAGGGAAAGTTCACCTGCCTTATTTGGAGTGATGGGCATTGTATGTGTCGTGTATATATTCTGTCTGGTAACTGTGAATAAATTGAGGTTAAGGATATTACGGTGTGACGCTCTTTCACTCGGAAAAGACCCAGAGAACCCACAGAGTGTGAGGTGATGTCCTGAACCCAGGGAGGGTGAGGGTGGGTGCTTAAATTAAGGGGGTTACGCCTTGAGCCCCAGGACCAGGGCAAAGGTGGTGCCCTCGAGCGTACGGGGAACAATGCCTGAACCCTGGGGTACCCTAAGGGGATGAAGGGAGCTCAGCCCATCCTTGGTCTCCCTGCTCAGGCAGTTCTGGTCTGCATGACACAGGCCTTCCTGACCCTCTGCCATCTGGACAGGCCCCAACGCCCTAGTAGTACCTAGATGGGGCCCAGTCAGCATGTACCAGGACAGACTCCTAGCTCAGTGGGGTAAATCCAGAGCAGCCACATTGATTTCAATGACGTTCTCCCACAGTTACACCCGCGGATTCAGCCACGGGGTATTTATTTTACGCTGTCGTAGGAGAAGCGATTGGCTCAGCGAGCCAGCCTGTGTGACAGCAGCAGCTGGCCCCAGTGCCACTGTGTCACCCGAGAGCTACACAGCCCAGCCCCAAGCAGCTGGCACGGAGCAGGTGGGATATTTCTATTGTAGCAGCTTCCGTGGACAAGGAGCCAGAGATCAAAGCTATTTAACCCTGGAATGATGAGGAGCCCCAAGAAAATGACTCTGCCAGCACTGCCTGCTAACACGCCCTTCACCCTAGCCTCCAGGCTCCCGCAGGAGCTGCAATTTATCCTGCAGCCTCCTCTGAGCTGACGACTCTTCCTCGCTACAACCCACTAACCACAGGCTTACAGACGAGGAGACAGGTCTCTCTTCAGAGCCAGCCCCTCTTTAATCAGGCCAGCCACAGCTCTAAGGCACAACTACCTTTGCTCTCCCCCCTACACACAGGGTGTAGCTCACAGGCCACAAGATCCAGGTTCAGGGAAGAGGGTCCAAGCCGCATCACCAGGGGCCTGAATTTTAGCTTTCACAGAAACTCCATCAGGAGGAAACGATCCCACGTGATGGTTTCAAAGTCTCCACAAAGCCAATTTTGCATGAAGTTAAGTTAGGACTTCCTCTGAGACTCCCCTGCAAGCCAGACCTCATGCCCTAGGGCCAGCGCATAGGAGCCAGAAACTGAAACTGACTAGGAACGAAAGCAAAACTGACCCGGTTGCGGGGGGAAGTATCACTGTTCAAAACCTGGAGTCAAAAGCAGAACAGAAGAGAGTGAAAAAGGGGAATGATCCAAACTGATTTTTCTTAGCTCCAAACCTGATCCCAGACGTCACGCCAGGAAGGTTTGTTCTCAGGATACAAGAGATGCAGACTGTGCCCTTCGACCCCTTCAGCACAACTTTGGTTTTAAATAGGAAACAAATCAAGGGGATTGTGAGGGGTGGGGGAGGGGGGGGGGGGAGGACACAGCCCAGGGCCGGGCTGGCAAGCGAAGGACACCTACTTTGAAAGAATACTCTAGCTTGACGAGGAATGGAAAGTTGACGGCCTGGAGGATCCGTTTCTCGTTGAGGGTGTGCTCAATTTGTTTCAACTTCACTACCTGGAGAGAAAAGGAAGTAGCAACATCAGATCTTCCTCTGCTGGCGCAGCACCCCCTACGCCTCCCACTCCCCTCTCCGGCGTCCCCACACAGGGTTCAGCCCCAAATCCCTCCCCTACACTGGGGAGTCCACGGCCCCAGGGCAGATCTTTGTGGCAGCTCCCAGCGTCTCACCTTCTGTTTATCCAGGATCTTCATGGCATAGTGATTCCCCGTCTCTTTGTGTTTCACCAGCATCACCCTCCCAAATGAGCCCGTGCCCAGGGTCTTGATTCGATCAAACTGATCCAAACTGGCCGTGTTCTGGAAGGGGGAAAACAAATCTGACTGGGGGGGGGGGGACGAGGGGGGCAGACAGACAGACTGGTCCTGGGGGCATCAGGAAGGCATCTGCTCATGACAGTGGGATTTGTACAGCAAGACTGGAGGGGTCTTTAATGACCACAAGGGGGTCAGAGCTTTGGTTTTTATAGCTCACCAGAATGGCAGCCCCCCCAGGGTCATCACTGACTGTGATGGGAGAGCGCCCCCTACTGAGCCCGCCACTCCCTGCAGCACAGCACCCGCTAGCCCCGCACTGGGGTTGTTCTTGAGAACATCCATATGAAGTACATGTCACATTTCACCACCAGAGGGCGCCAAAGGAAACCACCACAGTTTTAAGGAGACACTGACAAGGGATTCCCTGCTCCTTGGGCAGAACCAAACTCCAGTTCCAGACAGGCGACCCGCCCAGCTCCATTCAGTGGGGCTGGTGGGGGCGGGGCTGGGAGTCAGGACTCCTGGGTTCTAGCCCTCGGTCTGTGGGGAGAGGGAGTGAAGTGTAGTGGTCAGAGGGCAGGAGACTAGGAGTCAAAAGCTCTCTTCCTAGTTCTGCCACCAACTTCCTATACCCATGACCAAGTCCCTTTCCCCTCTGGGCCTCAGTTTCCCCATCTGTGCCATGGCGTTAATGACACAGGGTGTGCGGGAGGACTAGCAAAGTGACAGTGCTGCAGAGGGACCAGCAGCTCTGCCTCAGGAATTACCCACAACCACCCCAGGCGGGATTTCCAGCGGGGACAGATCCAGGGCACTGGGGCACTGCGCTGAAGCATAGGCAGCAAATGGAGGCCCTTTGAACAGGGTCCCTGTTAGCACAACCCCCCTGGGAGCCAATCTGGTGCTGGGCTGGGCTGGACGAGCCTCGGAAGGAGGATGGGGGAGGGGGAGACAGGCTGGATCAGGAGGAGTCCCACATGGTTAGTGTTCCCCTCCCACAGCAGAGTGGAGTGGAACCTACAGAGTTCTTGGCCCTCCAGCTACCAGAGGGCAGGTTGGGGAAGGGGGGAGGGAAGAGCAACATGGTCCACTCAGCCCCACCCCCCCAGGAGCACAAACAACCTCCAGACCATCAGAGGAGGCTGTGTGGCTAGGTGGCTCAGTGACGGGGAAAGAGATCCGGGGGTGACCGCAGGCTAATCAGCCTGGGGCTGCAAAGGCCTTGATTGGGCTGGGGTGGGGGGTGATCTGGGTTGGGGACACAGTACCTGAGAGGGGCTCTCCCATTTCTTGAGGAAGTCTTCTTTGGCTTTGGCTAGGAACTCCTTCACTGTAAGGGAAAGAGAGAGGGAGCAGCATGAGGAGTCAGGAGAGGGGGGCATTCAGCCTGGTGGACAGAGCTCCCATTTCAGCCCCCCCCTCAACGAAAAGGCACGCAGTCAGAAAGCAGGTGAGGATTTTAAACGTATCAGCGGGATGCTGATGCCAGACTGGATACAAAGGGTGGCTCAGCTGGGGATTGGTTAGAGAGAGGTCCATGTTGGGGAGCTCCCGCAACATCCCCACCCCTGCGCTTTCCTCTGGACACACCGAACAACCTCGTCAGGGAGGGCTAATGCAGCCCTCAGCGCCCAGCAAGGGGATGCACTTGTGCCTCTAACCCCCCGCTGAACATGTCACTTGGGGTGCCTGGTCCACGCCCCTCGACACAGAACCTGCACCCCACAAGGAGACACTCGTACAACCCTCCAGTCAAAGGACGTTAAGATGCGTGGATCACATTGCCCTAATGGGAGGATACGGGATCTACTACTGCTGCCAGCAAAGAGGGGTGAAGGGGAAGGAGATTCCCCCTTAGCTCAAAGGGCAGAGGCCTGTGTGTAGCCTTCTCTCAACCATGCAGGCCTCACAGATCAATGACACCAACAGCCCACAAGGGGGTGCTCCGTGCACACACACAGAGCTGCAGAAGGCAGCCGTGAAAGTTGCAAACCCCAGTTGGGCTTTGCCCACAAAGGGGTTAAAACAACCTGCCAGTGTCTCCACAGCAGCAGCCTGGGACCAGCCACGTGTCCCGCTCTCTGGCATCCAGCCAGGTGATCCTTCCTTTGCCAGCCGGGCTCCCTGTCCTTGCTGCCAGATCCCAGAACCATGGGAGGGAGGAAGCGGGATGGGGGTTGGAGCAATCTGCAGCATCTGGAGGGATATTTGGTACCGAGAGCCCCTTTTATCTTCGCTGCCTCCTGCTGCTCCCAACAGGGACAAGTCCCGCAGCTCTTAACAGTGCAAGAGACGCCCACGGGATTGGAATGGCTGCAGCAGCAAGGCCAAGCACAGAGCAGCAGCAGCTCAAAGCCTAGATCCAGATGTGGGTGCTGCAGTTCTTGGGGGTCACAGATGCTCAACCCAGGAGTCAACTCCCTGCCGGCCCACTCTCTCCACTACAACCCACTCCCTTCCCAGAGCTGGGGACAGAACCCCAGGAACCCCCCCACTTTAATCGCTAAATAGCAACACTTCTGTGGAAACCCGGCATCACCGCGCTCTAGTCCTGTCATCCCTGCCCTAAAGAAAGGACTGAGAAATGGGCCAGGCGAGGGCCTGAAATGCACCAGCGAAGCAGGACAACATCCTACAGATGTGACTGATTCACTGCTGGAGGGAAGGAGACCAAGATTACAGGGATTCCCCTGATCCCACAGGACAGGGCAGGGCAGGCCTGAAAGGGTTCTGGGGAACAGCTATTTGCTGGCTAACTACCCCCGCCCACACCCCCTTCATCCTCTAGTCCCCACAGCCCATCTCCCGTGGAGCCCCACAGAGCGGGATTGAATTCACATCTGCTTCCCCCCAGACGCTCAGTCTGTCTGACCTACTTTCACTTTGTCTCCTACTCTCTCTGGACTATTTATAGAAACAGGCTTGGCTCACCAGCCACTGTCTCCCACCATCGATCCCAGCCCCAAGGGGGCGGGGAAGAGGGATCCTTGCTTGGACACGGGACAGAGAAGACAATTTCCTGCACTCTCCTGGCCGTACCTTACAGAACTAAGTTTAAGTAGCTTAGGAGTTCATTGTATTACAAAGGCAGGCGGTTATGTATTATTGTGGGACTGTATGTGACGTCTCCGATGGAAACCCAGGGAAGGGTTATGGGCTTTGAGGGATCATCTGAAACTATGGGGCCTTTTAAAGTTAAGTACATTTCCCAGGAAATCTCTAAGGGGAGGGGTATGCAAACGTAACGCCTCTGTTATGCAAAACCTCAGCTGCTGGAAGCTGCTCCCAGAGGAGAAACCCACTGCCTGTGAGTTACCTGGCTGGAAGCGGGGTGATCTTTGGAAAGCTTATTAGCAGGCGTGCTTGTTCTTTGCTGGTTTTTAAGAGGTTTTCCCTGCAATGCTTTTACTGTAAGAATCAATGTGCTTGCTAACAGCTGTGTGGTACCTTATACCCGTGGAGACTGGGCTGTTTGTAGCCTCTGAGGAAGGAGGGAAAAGCAGGCTGGCTGAGGCAGTCTGGCTTGCTGGGGAACTCACAGTGTAGGCAGGGAGCTGTGCAGCCTGGAAATCCCCCGGGCAGGAAGGAGAGAGACGCAGGTCTCTGCCCAAGAGAGGTGATGACTGGGAGCCAGAAGCCTAAGTGGCTTCCCTGGCTGGACCATGAGGGGCAAATACAGGTGCAGTTGCCCTGACCTGCGACACCCCTCCCCCCACTGTTCTTCCCTGGCATCATCCACACCAGATCAGTGCCTTGGGAGGGGAGATCAGCCATTCTGCCTTCTTCTGGAGGTCTAGGAAGACTTTTGAGGCTCTGCTAATCAGTTACATAAACTGGGGGCAGCCCCAGACAGTGATGGAGGAATCTTCTCTGCACCACCAGCCTCTAATTTACTTGGCCCAACACCAATAATTTGTTCCCTTTTTGGGCCTCTCTCTTCAGGGCCCTGGGCCTGGGCCAGGGACCCCTAGAGCGGAAAGATCTGGGATGGGGATTGTGGCTGACAGCCCCACTCCTCCAGTCCCACGGCACTTTCTACCACCCAGGTGTAGCTCATCTGTGAGAGGGACAGAGCTTCTTTGGGAGCCCATCCAAGAGGGTGGAACTGATTGTCACAGGATCTAAGGATCATCTCAGACTTCCCCACCTCTTCCTCCTAGTGCTATGTGCTAAACACAGCGCAGAACAGGCATATAAAAAGAGACCCTACCAAAACCAACACCTCCACTGCACTCACAGCTCTCCCCCTGGTGAAAGTACAGAACCCAGGCACAAGGAGTCCTCGGTTGCAATCAATATCTCTGGGGGCTACTGTAATTAAAAAACCATTGAAGGAGCAGCCAATTCAAATTTGGCCTCCAAAAATGTAAGTTTTGGTTAACCCCCACCCCCCAATGCTGTCTAAAAACAAATCCTGAAATAGTCCAATTATTTTTAAACTACGTCCCACTTGAAACAGACGAAGGGTCCCTCACCCCTCTTGCAGCTCAGAGAGCCCTAGAGTGAAATCTACTTTCAGCAGGAGTGAAATTGATACCACTGAGATCTCCTTTGCTAAGCAGACAGACTTACCTATCTCAGGGTTTTATACGGATGCCCAGCTCCCTAGTATATGAGCAAAAGCAATAGCGGGAACAGGGTAACATTTTCCAAAGGGCTTATAGGCTTTAGGAGCCTGCATGCCATTGACGGTAACTCGTAAATAGGAAATGGCAAACTGGATTTTTAGAATCCTCTCGTTTTAATAACCCCAAGATTTTGTAGCCTTTCCTTTCCAACTCAGTGGCCTTTCAGCTGAGAGAGCCCCTTTAAAGACCCATGAACACATTTCTATTCATGTCAGTTTTGTCAGATGGCACGAATCTGGCATATGAAACTAATTGACTGTGTCTAATTACACAATAGACTAACAAACTGACCTGTGCAAGGAAAAGCACCAGTGGATATTGGCTAATGGAGACATTTTCATACCGCTAATCTTTTGTACCACCTTTCAAAGAACTTAGCAAAACCTTAAGTTCCTTAGACCTTCAAGGAGGTAGGTACTATTTCCTTTTTTATGGGAAGGGAAACTGAGGCAGGGAGATGTGACCTTGCCCACTGTTGCACAGGAAGTGGAAGAATTGAGAAGAGCACCAAGAGTCCTGACTCTTAGGAATAGAGCCCAGAAGTTCGGATTCTCAGTCCCCTGCTCTAACCACTAGATCCCACTCTCCATCCCAGAGCCAGGAATCCCAACTCCCATTCCTTACTCTGACCGCTAGACTGCACTCTTGCTTATCACAATGCATCCAGTTCTCTTTTACCTGATGCAGCAGCACGAGGTATTATTCGAATACCTGGGACAGGGATCAACACTGGTAGACAAAGGAAAATGCATGAGAAGGTCGGACCACTTAGGACCTCAGATCAACAGTTAAAGCCATTCTCTGCGGAATGGAAATCAGCGCCTGATTCAAAGCTCAGCAGGCCCCAGCACCAGGGCTCTAGGGATCTGTAATTAGGAGAGATCAGAGTTATCTGGAAAAGAGCTGAGTTTCCTAATCAGAGGGCAGACTGCTCTTAAAGAGACATGACAAGTTTTAGGCCCAACATTTGTGATTACAGAAACCTAACGCACGCCAGCTTGTGGGTAGCAGTTTCCAACCTCATGCTTCACCTTCGAGCCTCTGCCTTTCAAACCAAGTCAAGTTCTCAGTCCCCATCTTCAAGGTTTCCATGGCCTGTGCCATGGGGGATCTAAATGAGCGTATGACTTTGACAGAAAGATAATGGCTGACAACTCTACTTGCTCGGCACAATGGCACCTTCCACCACGGTGAAGTTCAGCTGTGCAGGAGACAGAGTTTCCTCCGGGTCTGGTTGCAGACTGTGGAATTACCTGCCACATGAACCAGGGACCATCCCAAATCCAGACCCATTTCTTTGACCTACCGGAACCTCAAAAACTACAAGACACTCCACTGCCTCACTTCTCCTTCAAGGGAGGAGATGAGAGAACAAGCCACATGACAGATGTGAAGTCACATCATTTAATACGCGACTGGAAGGCATTCAGATACTGCGGTGATAAGAGCGGAATAAGAACCTAGAGAGGACAGATTAGGCTTGTTTCTGAAATCCCATTGCAGGATCAGGGCCAGGTGCGTAAGAAAAACAATTGAGTTGCACAAGGCCAGGGTTACAAAACGTTACACAACTTTCCCCCTATTTGACAAAATAGGGGGGCTGGTTTGACAAAACTTTGAAGTCCCTACCCCCAAAACCAGTGTTGGGCCCCCAGCCTCTGCAAATCAACACAGGAGAAATCAGAAAGAAAGTGAAATCGACGAATCGAATTTCACCACGCCCCAGAGGCACAAAGGGCATGAATGGTGAAGAGCAGATTAGAGGTTTA